GGGGATTGTAAATGTGTGGATTCGTTTTGTCTTCCTTGCATTTTTTATATTAGTTCTATTCTAATTTTTTTATTTATTTAGGTTTCAAATAAGGTAAGCACTTAAAACAGCATGAGACCCCAAGAAAGCAAACAACAGTACAGCAGATTTAAATTAACCCAAGTAGACACAAAATAATTTAAAGCGTGTCAAAGAAACATTTTCCTAATAATTAAAGTAATATAAGGTAATCGAAAGATTCCAGTGGTGATAACCTTAAAAGCATTAAAGAAAATGAGTAAATAAACAATAAAAAAGGTATAATATGATCATATTGCCAAATAGTCCAATACAGATTTTCCCAAATAAATTTGTCAATTGTCATTATTGATAAATCACACTTTCTCTATACGAATAATGTTCACCAACTCAATGTTAGAATCATGTCCAGTTTCCATCTCTGTTGAACCAGCCTTTTTTTTTTATTGTAATATTTTACATTATTACTGTTTTACTGTATTTTTGATCATAGTGTGTGGATTCGTTTTGTCTTCCTTGCATTTTTTTTATTAGTTCTATTCTAATTTTTTTATTTATTTAGGTTTCAAATAAGGTAAACACTTAAAACAGCATGAGGCCCCAAGAAAGCAAACAACAGTACAGCGGATTTAAATTAACCCAAGTAGACACAAAATAATTTAAAGCGTGTCAAAGAAACATTTTCCTAATAATTAAAGTAATATAAGGTAATCGAAAGATTCCAGTGGTGATAACCTTAAAAGCATTAAAGAAAATGAGTAAATAAACAATAAAAAAGGTATAATATGATCATATTGCCAAATAGTCCAATACAGATTTTCCCAAATAAATTTGTCAATTGTCATTATTGATAAATCACACTTTCTCTATACGAATAATGTTCACCAACTCAATGTTAGAATCATGTCCAGTTTCCATCTCTGTTGAACCAGCCTTTTTTTTTTATTGTAATATTTTACATTATTACTGTTTTACTGTATTTTTGATCATAGAAATGCAGCCTTTTTGAACAAATCATGATTATCCCAAACTTTTGACTGGTACTGTAAATAAAGCGATACAGACATTTATTCTTATTAAGGGAAGATTCACTAATTGACCCCAGAATAGCAAACACAGTATCTGACTTATTTTCCCTTTTTTTCCCTTGTGTATTTAATCTTTTTATAGTCACCTCTATTACCACTCCAGTCTACACATATTCTCCCTACATTTTGGACTCACATTTACAATACCCAATATGTTGGTTCTTTGCTGGTGGCCAAAAACAAGATGCACTTTTCCTAACTAAAGTGATTTAATGTGTCTGTTTCTCACTCTTCCTGCAGTATGTGACCAAGACGGTTGAAGTGGAGTCGGCTCAGTGTAAGCAGGCTTTAATGGAGGCTCAGGCCCGTAACCAGGCGCTGCAGGAGCAGCTGAGTGTTCAGAGGCAGCTCCTCAGAGAGCTGGAACAGCAGCTCCACGAGTCCCAGAGAAGCAGCAGTCAACTCCGCCAGCAGGTACCACACTCACTTCCTGTGTGCGCTGTTTTGAGTGTCCTGAATTATTATGTGGCCAAATGCTGATCTCATGTCTTCTCAAAAGCCAGTTAATTTGATGTAAGTTTAATAGGGAATTCTTTTTAAAAAAAATTCCTCCAAATTCCTTGTTTTCAATTTTAAATTTTCTGGATTTCATTTTAATTGTTTAGTTAAACTAAATGAATAAAAAGGACAATTTAATTAAAATGTTAACAATAATATTGCTCTCTGAAATTAGATTTTTTTTCTGAAATTGAAAAACAATTTAATCTTGTATAATATAATTAAATGAAATTTGGGGGGAAAAATCCTTTTTTGGCAAAGGAAATGCTGCAAAACAGAGGTTTGCTTTAAGTTTTAAATGAAAACATGAATGAAAAAAAATAATATATATATATATATATAAATTGTGTGATATTCCTTAAAAAATAACAAACTGTATTTTTAATATTGTTATTACTTTGAGAAGTACATTCTACTGTACAGTAGTTATATATTTCTGTCATAATTTCAAGTTAAACTAAACTTTTATTTTGGCTGGTTGAAGTGAAGACCTTTTGAGTTTCTTTGTGTATCTGATGATCTGATGAAATGCTGGTGAAGTGACTCTCAGAGCAGCTCTGGAGATGAAGTTAATGTGTTCATGTCCTCATATAGTGAGACGGTAGATGCTGAAAACTCCACAAGCATTACGTGTGCCTGAGTATGTGTAGTAGACAAGACTGTGGCACTCATTCACACAGACACTCAGAACATGCAGACTTCATATTTGCATAGCAGTCTTTTTGCACTTTAATATTCACAGACACTAGTCCATATGGCTACTTGATTAATTGTACAGTCCTACTTTTGATTTATTCATCCAAATTTTGCCAAATTCTGTAACATTCCGCATTATACTGTAAATTCGATTTTCATGACTGGATTCCGTGATTCTGTCTTTTTTCTGCATTATGGAAATCATAAGGCTCTAGTTTCAGGCCTCTGTGATGTCGGTGTCGTGACAGAGCAGGTTAACAGCTCTCTCTCTTCACTTGCGTTGCAGCTGAGGACGGACCGCAGCCGTCTGTATGGTCTGCTCTCCAAGGCGGTGGGTGGGGGTAACACCGAGGTCACCCACAGGCTATCCAAGGTCGTCCAGATTACTCTGCAGGGGTCAAAGGTCAAAAATGTCATGGGTTAGATTCCAACTGTGATTATAGGAAGTGATTTACTGTGAGCAGACTTCTACCAGACTTTGTCCCATTTTAAGTTCTAAACAAAAATGTAGGTTCATGTTGGCTCATGCTCATTTTTGACCTATAAAGCCCTGAAATCTTGCGGAGTAACTAGCTCACATTCCTTTCAGGGTTATAATTTATTCTACTTGCAGTAGTAATCCCATAACTTACTGTGAAATAGTTGATGTCACCCCTGTTGTGTACTTCATATTAGGGGTGGGTGATATGACCAAAATCTTATATCACTATACGAGTCATTTTATTTCACGGTAACGAGATATATATATATATTTGCTTTAAATAAGGTTTTTATGATTTCAACATTTTTGATACCATAGAAATTTCATAATTCTTGTCACCAGTGCCACTATCACAAAAAACTAATACTAGCCTAAATTAAAAAAATAATCTCAAGCTGACTGAAGACAAGTAAACAGTCAGCAATTAAATAATAAAAAAAGCAATAGGACAAAAATATATAGTAAAACAAATAAATAAGAAATGCTACATTTGTATAAAGTAATCAAATGTATAAAAACACTGCATATTCCTCACTGTGTAAATTAAATATATATTTCTTCTTAATAAAGTCAAAAGTGATTCAGTCAAGAGCAGTGAGAGATTTTCTCTCTTTTGTTGTTTGATTAACATGAATGACAGACAGCAGGAATATTAGACTGCTGTCACTTTAAGAGCTGCCCGGATCCAATATATTGTTACACATGTTTACTTTCTCAGCTGTTTGCTTTCACTTAAGACCTAAATTACTGTGTTTATGAGGATATTTGCAAAGATGGTCATTTTGACACATACAAGTGTGTGTATTTAACCATTCAAAGCCTATAAAGCAGCAAAAATAACTCAATACTCCTGCGCTCTATGAGCACTGTCTTCATGTGTGCGCGCCTCTCAGACAGCACTCAGAAACAGTCTCTCAGACAGCGCGTGCATGTAGCAAAATGAGTTCTCTTTCACTGCTGATTGCGTTTCAGCGACTTAAAATCACTTGTTTTTAAACCGCAATGCTTAAAAACGTGTGCAAACGATAAGCTTTCGTGACCTTATCGTCATGTGAGCGTGTAGCCACAACATAGACAATAGTCCTAAATCTCCACTGGTTGACAAATTTCTACCGCTTAATTGTGTCTACCTGTATATCGCCCACCCCTACTTCATATGTTTTGATGGTGCGTGACCCCAGATGCCCTTCCCATGTGTGACCAACAGCCCTCCACCCACCCCACAGGTCTTCTTTCACTTACCTAACTGCATTAGATCAGTCTAACTAATGACTCTGGTTAGTAGTTCATGACGTCTTTAATACTGGGTTTGTGTTGTGTTGGTCAGAAGTAAAGCCATTTTATTTAAATAAGGTGGAACGCAGGATATCTGTGCGTCTCTGATCATGTGTGTGTGTGTGTGTGTGTGTGTTAGATCCTGGTGTATGAGGGTGAGATGGAGAGAGCTCAGGGTCAGCTGGAAGCAGAGATGCAGAGTCTGGAGGAGGAGAAGAACCGAGTGATCGAGGAAGCTTTCATCAGAGCCGAGAGTGAAATGAAGGCCGTCCACGAGAACCTAGCAGGTGAAACCATGTGTTTGAGTCCAGGTCGTGTTTCACCCTCAAATCAATAAATCAAAGAAATAATTAATTATATTGTTTTTGAACAAAACAAAATCCATTAGGATTTTCATGACAGTTAATAATGTTTCCTCTCATATTTTTATTACTTGTTACTTGATGCAAACAAAAAAAAAAGTAACACACTTTATTTTAATGTTCATGTTAAACATATTACACGTAGTAATTTAGCACACAGTAAATTATGCACAATTACAAGCAATTAACCATAAACCAAACCCTATAATTGTACATGTTGTTAATTATTATTACTTAGTACTTATTTGTGTAATTACATTGATACAAGGACATCTTAAAGTAAACAACCAGGAAATATATTTAAACTACAGTATTTGGCATTTCGTAGTTCTATTTGTTTACTGTCTTTTATATTGCTATTGATATAAAAAATTATGTAGTAATATAAAAAAATATGTAATTGTTATTATGCCATATTTTATTAGTCATTTAAATATAGTACAACAATTGTATTAGTGTAATATTTTTTTTTACTGAATAATCTAATAAAAAAAAATTTTATATGTGACCCTGGACCACAAAACTTAAGTCGCTTGGGTATATTTTTAGCAATAGTCAAAAATACATTGTATGGGTCAAAATTATCGATTTTTCTTTTATGCCAAAAATCATTAGTACATCAAGTAAAGATCATGTTCCATGAAGATATTTTGTAAATTTCCTACCGTAAATATATTAAAACTTAATTTTTGATTAGTAATATGCATTGTTAAGGACTTCATTTGGACAACTTTAAAGATGATTTTCTCAGTATTTAGATTTTTTTGCACCCACAGATTCCAGATTTTCAAATAGTTGTATCTCGGCCAAATATTGTCGTATCCTAACAAACCATACTTCAATGGAAAGTTTATTCATACAGCTTTCAGATGATGTATAAAGTTCAATTTCGAAAAATTGACCCTTATTGACTGGTTTTGTGGTCCAGGGTCACATTTATATTTTTTTTATATTTACTAATCTCGACAAAAACTATACTACGAACTATACAAAAATATTCATGTTTCTTAAAAATTCTTCATTTGATATTTTCATTTTTCATTTTATATAGTTTATTAATTTAGTTTTTTGATTTTGTCCAACAGGTGTGCGGATGAACCTCCTGACGCTGCAGCCGGCTCTGAGAACCCTCACCTGTGATTACAACTGTCTGAAGAGACAGGTCCAGGACTTCCCTTACATGCTGGAGAAAGCCATCACCGAGGCGAAGCAGGAGGTGAGAGCATGGCATACGAGCTCACAGACACATCAGCCTGACCGCAGCTCATCAGTCGTGTCCATCTGTGATTACAGATCTGTCAGGTGATTGGAGAGGTGAGCAGTGCAAACCAAGAACTGCTGCGCAAATACAAGCGGGAGATGAACCTGAGGAAGAAATGCCACAATGAACTGGTGCGTCTCAAAGGTGAGACCGCCAAGATTTCTGGGAATTGTGTGGTTTGGTTCATTAATGCGTTTTTATTCAGTGAAATTAGACATTCTAATTCTAAAGACTTAATTATCTTGTTTTTCAGGAAACATTCGTGTGTTGTGCCGAGTACGTCCCATATGTGCTGGAGAAACAGATGCTGCTGACACCAAAAACATAGTGACCTTTGACCCTGATGATGATGCTGTTCTCTACTTGTCCAATAAGGGCAAGCTCATGACCTTTGAACTTGACAAAGTCTTTCCTACTCAGGCCACTCAGGAGGAGGTTAGTGCCTGAACTAGTTTTCTCATACAGTTGTATTTCCTATATCAGTTATTATATCACAGTCCCCTCTCCTGTGATTGGACAGGTGTTCCAGGAAGTGCAGTCTCTGGTCACTTCCTGTATTGATGGCTTTAACGTATGCATCTTTGCCTATGGGCAGACCGGCTCTGGAAAGACCTATACTATGGAGGTACATCACGTGTTCCCAATTTTCACCCTCAAACTAAAAAATAAATATATTGTCCGTAAAGTAAACCAAGCTCATTAGGACCTTTAAAATTTTTATGTGACCTTTAAACTTTTTTTGCATTGACATTTTCGTAACAAAAAATAGGCAACGCTTGTTACACATTACAAGAACACCTTAAAGTGTAACAAAAAATATATTTAAACTAAATTATTTATATGGTGGGATTTGTTGTGCGTGTTAATTAATATTTAATATTATTTAGAGGTTTTTGTTGTACTGTCTTGTCATATAAAACCATATTTTATTATTCATTTTAACACCGTAACAGTACTTTTTATTTCCCATGATGTCTGTCCCCTTTCAAATTTGTGCAATGTCTAATAGTTGCATTTGATCCTGTATTTCTAAAGAATTCTCTTATGCTCACTTAAGACTGCATTTTTTTTAATCAAAAATACAGTAATATTGTGATTATTACAAAATAGAATTATTAAAATAATGATTTATTTTAATATATTTTAAAATGCAATTTATTCCTATGATGCAAAGCCATTATTTCAGTCTTCAGTGTCACATGATCCTTTAGAAATCATTCTAATATGCTGATTTTCTGCTCAAGAAATATTTTTTTATTATTTTCAGTGTTGACTTTTTTTTGTGTGTGGAAATCATGATACTTTCTTTTCAGCTTAATTTGAAATAGATATGATAGTTTTAGAAATATTTTTTAACGCTAGTGTGTATAAAGAATTCTCTTATGCTCACTTAAGACTGCATTTTTTAAAATCAAAAATACAGTAATATTGTGATTATTACAAAATAGAATTATTAAAATAATGGTTTATTTTAATATATTTTAAAATGCAATTTATTCCTATGATGCAAAGCCATTATTTCAGTCTTCAGTGTCACATGATCCTTTAGAAATCATTCTAATATGCTGATTTTCTGCTCAAGAAATATTTTTTTATTATTTTCAGTGTTGACTTTTTTTTGTGTGTGGAAATCATGATACTTTCTTTTCAGCTTAATTTGAAATAGATATGATAGTTTTAGAAATATTTTTTAACGCTAGTGTGTAGTTTTTTTTATGATAATTGGTGTAGTTCAATAACCCTGTTAAATGTTATCTTTTAAAAAAATCTCAAAATGAATATCAATTATTCATACTGTTAAACATCATTATGTTGTGTTACCTACATTTAAACCAATTTTAATTAATTTTTTTTTAAAACAGCATAATCTTAAACTAAGCCATTTATCAACTATCAGCTGTAGCATGTTGATTATGTAATTAATTTTCGTGTCAGCCTCTCATGTCTCTGTGTTTCATGTAGGGTGTCCCTGAAGACCCTGGCATTAACCAGCGTGCTCTGCGGCTGCTCTTCTCTGAAGTGTCGGAGAAAAAGCCCGACTGGGACTATAAGATCATCGTCAGCATGGTGGAAATCTACAATGAGACACTTCGGTGAGAAAAACAGACACAAGTAGAGATGATGATGATGATCAAATGCTCTACAGGAGGGCTTTCAGTGTGACACGCACATCACTGCAGCATATTCAGCACTCTTTTCTATAATTGTCCCAATGTCACAGTGAAGTGTGTGTGACCTGCCACAGATTCTGCCGGTCAGCAGTTCTGTAAAAACGGATTAGATTTAAAATCTCTCAGGCCATCTGTAAGACATAAACAGATCACACGTCACGCATTTCCCCCTGCACTGTCTGTTTGCTCACCCTGCTTCTCACTTTTCCCATCATGCCTCCTGCTGTGTTGTGTAAGTTGAACAGATGTGTATGTTCTGATTCAGATTGTCTGCGTAATATTAATCTGTGCCCCACTTTAAATTTTGCACATTCCTTAACGTCAACAGATAAAATTAATTAATTTTGTATTTATCTGCTTCCAACAGGAACCTGTTGGGTGACAATCCCAATGAGAAGCTGGATATAAAGATGTGTCCAGACGGCAGTGGACAGTTGTATGTGCCAGGACTCACAGAGTTCACCGTGGAGAGCGTGGAGGACATTAACAAGGTGAAGCTCACAGCATCCAACCAGAGTTATGCTACCTGTCATCACTACACGCTTCAGTGCCAGCTTCACGAACTCCACAAATGTATGAATATCACCACTGTAGATAACAAAATATTATTTCCTGGGAAAAGCAACAAAAAGTTTTCTTAGGCCGATTTGTCTTGGCTTGTTTTGTCTGACCGGACAAAGTGAAGCATGTCTGTAGCTACTCTGCTCTGAAAAATGTGAAAAGTATAATTTTACTACTTAAGAGTACACTTAATACAATTATGAAATATTTGTTTACTCTTTATTTTAAGCCTATAAAGCCTTTTTTATCATATTTGATAAGCAAATTTCTAAGGCATCTAAATTATCAAAACTTTGCTGAAAAACCATTATACACAACATCATCTGATTGATAGTTCTTTTTTTTAGCAATTAAAAGGCCTTTGAGTATAATTATTTTAAAAAAGCCCCCTTCAGCTTGTGGTTCGTGTGTCTTTTTACTGTGACAATGATTTTTATTAAGTAAAAAAGAATAATTTCTCATTTCTAAATCTTCAATTTATATTGTTAGTAATATTTCAAGATGAACACTTACTGGACTGAAGCAGCTTAGGTTACTTAATTATCCATACATAATTTTTTAGAGAAATCATATTAAAATGTGAGTATCAGACATGATACATCAGCCTTTTGAGAAGCTTTTCCTTTTAAACATTTTAAATATATATATATATATATAT